TTCGTTCACGTGCAAGTTTATTCAAACATTTTTTAAAAAATAATATCCACCAAACTTAAACTATGTGCGAACCCCACCAACCCAATAAGTTTTTTACACAAAGTTGGGAAAAGAGGGAGCAAAGATAGATGAAATAAACAAAAAAAAAGGTGGAAAATGTGACAAATTGAACAGTGAGACGGGTGCACCGTGCACAAGCAGTGCACCAATCCCACTCACATATTGCCAAATTTCCACACAAAAAACTTCTTCTGAATCTTTAGAAAGACGAAGAGGAGACACACAATGACACAACAAAAAAGACACATATTTCAACTCATCACCGTCATTTTAGAAATCATTTGTTTTCTTGGGAACATTAAAATACATCACAATACTAAACATAGATAATAAAGATAAAGAAGAGATAAAACAAAACTGAGGGCATCATATTATATCTAAACTCACAACCATCATCTTAGAAATCATTCTTTTAAAAAAAAACCTTAACAACGTCACATCAAATTAAAAGCACATGCACATAATTTCTTAACTCCAATGAAAAAATAGGATAATTTTTTTCTTAACCTTTCTTCGTAACTAAACAATCCAATTGTGAGATAATTTCAGCATAAAATAATTGTGAGACAACTTTTTTTGTCAGAATCCAATCATTAGATATTAGATTATAGGGCCACGTGAGAGTGACTGAAGTTTATATATTGACTTTTCATCATAAATAGACTCTCAAGTTTGCGAAATTATCAAATTTTGTTTTTAAATTTTTTTTTATAACACTAATGGTCTTCGAGGTTATTCTCCACACATCAAAATGGTGTATGCCGTTAACTTTCATCAAATTTTCTGTTAAATTGTTGATATGACACATGTATAGAATCCACACATCCAATAGTATAGAGCCACATGATTTTAAATTCTTTTATGGTTAATAATATGCAATTGCATAATTTTCATTGACTGATGGTCTATGTGCCTGCATTTGTATAAGCTCTTGTGACTGATGACTTTTGTGCCTCCATTATGAATGCAACTTATGGCCTTTATCTCAACCCAAAAAAAAAAAACAAAAACAAAAAAAAAAAACAAAAACCTAGTATAGAATAGGATTAGGGGTCACAACCAAGTTGTGTTATATCGCATTATTTTGTACTCATGTTTAATACTAGTCAATCCTAACTTGATTAGCACTAAAACTAATACAATATTTAGAATTCCACTCCGCCAAACTTTCTTCTACAATATGTCTAGCCTTATCATCAAATAACTTTTTAAACCTCAATGATTATTTCCCCCCACTTATACACTTCAAATTGGCACATCTACATTTAAAAAAGTAATGTCACATATATCACATTGGTTGTTTTTGTTTGTCTTATTTTTGCAGATTTGGAGCTCATGCTTTAGATCTACTTCGGATCTCTGTGGTTTGTTTCAACTTGTGATTTGGTGATAGACAAGGTGATTGAGCAGTTTTATTTACGTATGTGTGTGCAATTGCTTGAGTTGTAGTAATTGCATCAACTCTTTGTGAGTTCGGTGCTTGTTTGTAGTCTTATCTCTACTTGTCGAAATTTAAAGGTTGTAGTTGCAGATATAGTTTGGTGTGTAGAGGTATTCACCTAGTTTTCCAGACTAGTGGCTTTTATGCCGGAATTCCTTTGGCCATGTGTGGCCATATTTGGACTAATCCTTTGTGGTTACCGTGCTTCTATATTTGTAATAACCCTTTTTGGTTATGTGTATTTCTATAAGCTCTTGTAACTGATGACCTTTGTGTTTGCATTATGAATGCAACATATGGCCTTTATCTTAATTTATATATATATATATATATATAAAAAGTTAAAAAAAAAAAAACTAGTATAGAATAGGATTAGGGGTCACAACCAAGTCGTATTATGTCACATTATTTTGTATTCGTGTTTAATACTAGTCAATCCTAACTTGATTAGCACTAAAACCAATACAATATTTAGAATTCCACTCCGCTAAACTTTCTTCTACACTATGTCTAGCCTTATCATCAAATAACTTTTTAAACTTCAACCTCAATGATTATTTCCCCCCACTTATACACTTCAAATTGGCACATCTACATTTAAAAAAGTAATGTCACACATATCACATTTGTTGACACTTAATCCTCTCCTCTTTTTCCTCCTCGTGGATTATAAGTAGGGGTTTTCATGAGGCTAATCACTTCTCTAAAGTTTCTCTCTCTTCTTATTTTCTTCTCTATTTAAGCAAAAACCAAGGAGAAATAAAGAAGAGAACGTTTTCTTAAGTCAAAAGTCCATGAGTCATCATGGTTTTCTTATAATACCAATGATAGTCTAAACTATAAGAGGAAAAGAGTTTTCTCATACACACTATCAATGTACTATGGAGTTCGAACTTAAGATCAATGGTTTGCAAGTCAATACTATTTTTTACTAAGCTAGTCCATGTTCTTTGGCTAAGTCATTCTTGTCTTAGTTGAGAAATATGATGAACAATATGATCGATAAAAGTTATGCAAATAATTTCACTTTATTTCAAATATTTTATTTACGTTGACAACGAATATATTAATAATTTGTGTTGACGCAAATAAATATGATACAAATAATTTCACTTTATTTAAAATGTCCCATCTATGTTGATGATGAATATTTTAATAATTCGCGTTGACGCGAATGCTCTAATCATTCGCGTTGACTGCGAAACGAGAACGTTAGGAACGTTCTAATAATCATTATGGACCATCATGTCAAAACAACCGCAGGCTAAATCTGATACCACCACCAACCAAAAGAAGAATCTGATGCCAAAGAAATGGTGCTTGTATTTGTTTATTTTGTTTAAACCCATTGCCAATACTAGATATCTTAGCCCTAAAAGGCCCCTATGGCTAGTAGAAAGTGGGAATCTCCGGACCAAGTTGCAGATATTATTTTCTGTTGGCCATGAGTGTTGTGGATAATTACTTCTTGGGGGACCTCTTCATTTTGTTTGCTTCCCAAACCCTCCTCACAACACAAAGCACAAAAAGCAACCAATGCATGACGCTTCTGTTTTTGTTCGGCCGGCATGCATGACACTTAATAGTCCCCCAATAAAATAAAATAAAGAAACAGCAAAAACAGATGTCACTTCAGTTGCTTGGTACCTTCTAATCTCTGGCCACCCCTCCTAATGGTAACTTCAAAAAATTTACTCTGTTTTTTTTTGGGGTAATCTCAAATTTACTTTCACTTCTTTAACATGATAGCTTTTTTCGAGTTTGATCTTTAAATTTTCAGTTCCATTTTTTCTTAATTGACCCATTAATATCTCTAAAGTTGTTGCACCCACCAAATTTAAGTAGAAAGAAAAAACATAAATGGCAATGACATAGAAAGCTGAGATTGTAAGCAACTGACCTGGCAGTACTAGGACAAGCGTCACGAAATGAGAACTGTAGCACGAACAACACGTTAAGCAACAAGTGAGGTTATCAACCTGTTGAAACAGAAGAGTCAGAGGAGAACGCGAAAAGAGGGAGATAAGAGATTCGCTTTGGCTTGAGAGTCCCGAGCGGTGGCCGACATATAAGAAGAACGGTCAAGCAAAAAAAAAAAAAAAAAAAGGGTAGGGAGAGAGAGAGATGAGAACGGTTACACCACTTTTTTTGCATGAGATCCATGTGTTGCTGCTTACAAGTGCAAAGAAACCAACAAAATTGCTTCATCAAATTCACACCTCATCGCCCTAATTTCCGGTTTTTGATCAAATTGGGGGTTTTGGATCTTACCCACAAAACCCTATCCCTTTCCTCATCCAAGCAAACAGAAACGTTTTCCAAACGTTTGATTAGTCTAAATTTTAAATTCACATCTTAGAGTTAATCTTATTGGTTATTAGTGAAAAATAATGTTAAATGACGGTTTAATATATATGTGTATGTGTATGTGCGCGCTCTGATGTGATAGTGTCACTGAAGAAGTGGTATGTTTGAAGATCCCAATAACAACTCATGACAGTTGATATAGTTAATGAAAAAGACCTGCATGTGTTTTGTGAAAAAAGTGGAGGTTCTTCAAAAAGTTCTTACCGAAAACGGACGCGCCGTTGTTAAATAATAAAATATTCGAAGAATTTTTGAATAGAAAGCACATGATAAATAATTTTATTCTTTATATAAATGCGGAAAACATTCGCCAATCATCATAGAAGTCAGGTGAAATGAAAACAATAAACTAGGTTGACTTCTGTCCCTCAAAAAGATTGTGGGACATGGCACTTGGGACCCATATAAAATACATTTATTTTAAAATTTCGTTGCGAAACTTCGAAGAATTGTGATTATATATAAATGTTACAAAAATTTTATCGACACAATCGAACTAGGTAGCTCGAGAGTATAGTAAGCTCAACAATGATAATTATTTATGATCAATAATAATAATCAGATATTAGCACTAATCATAAGCAAATTACCATTCTTCAATTTTGTTAACCAATAAAATTACGACCCCACCCCATGCGATGACCATCATAAATTCATGCCACATGCGCTCCAAATTTAATCAACACCCCCAACCTTTACTTAGAAAATTGTGTACCTTTTGTTCAGCCAAGGAGGGGACCACTAACGCCGTAACTGATGGCTCCGTTACCTGGAATTTGACGTAGCTATAGGGGCAAAAATATAACCCCCCGCATCGTATTCATCGCCCAAGTCCCAACTCATTTCCCCGAACGACGCCGTATGTTCGCCACGTAAGCATCTTTGATTTTCCGTTCGATCACGTGTACGAGTCCTGCCTCGACGATTCACACGCCGCGGTCGTTGGGCAAATGTTCCTTGACCAATTTGCCCCTGTCCTCGCGCCATAATTTCACTACTCAGCAGACATGGTAACATTTTCCATATCCCACCAGTTGTTAAGCAAACAAACAAACAAGTGCACAAAAAGAAACAGAAAAATAAAGTCATATTATATAATTTCGTGTAGTTATTATATTGAGATTAAATCGTTTACCGGGAAAAGGAGTTTTCAGTTATCAATTAGCTCTCTATCTCTCTCTCTCTCTCTATGGGACTTTGTGTATGGTTTTTTTTCTTTTCAGTTTCCTTCACGGTTTCCTGAGAAAGACTTTTTCACCATTTTGGGTTCCTCCTGAGACTGAGATGAGATCTAGGCACTGGCTCAGCTTGTGGGTTAGCTCTCTCATGAAGTCTCTGAATAATTGCTAATTTTTTGTTTATCAAATTCTTCCAACAGCAGAGAATAAAGTGGCATTATCTGTGGAGATCAGTGAGAGCATCTGTACGATTTTCTGTTCTGCCTTCTAATTTTATGAAACTGCAAATTTCAGTGATTGTGAGGAGGTGGAATTCTAAATCAATTAGGTGCTCTTCTTGCTGGCCACTCTAGTCTGAATTTGCCATTTTGATTGAAAGATCTGGTTTTCAACAAGATGATGGTTTTTGGTGAGCTGGGTAAGACTGATAATTGTTGTGTTTTTAGCTCAAAACTGTGTTTTCTCTTCTGAAAATTCTCAAAATTGCCTCATTTTCCTATATGGCAGGTGATTCTGTAAAATGGGCTTAACAGGGAGGAAGAGTTTCAAAGCTTGATGTCCAGAAATCAAAATCTGCCTTGGGAAAGACTGAATTGAGTGCGAAGTGAGGAGCTGGAAACCAGAGGGAGAGAAGAAATCTAAAAAACCCAACAGGTGGGTCCCTCAGAAGGCTGAGGGATGGATATGGGTGGGCAGGGGGAAGATGCCTTACAAGATCAAGGCTCTTCTTGCAATTGGATGCCAACAACTCCTTATAGGCCTATTCTGCCAAAACCACAGCCAGAAATTTTGATGGCCTCAGAGACATTGAGATTTGGTGTAGAAGAAACTCAAGAGAACAGAGTACTTATAAACTTCGGCTCGCTGGATCGCGAGAAAGAGAGTAGATTTGTTTACCATGGAGCTGGAGCTGGAGCTTGTACTTCAGCAGAGTCTCACTTTGACCATATGGCTCCGTGGAAAGGAATTCCTTGTCAAGAGCTCCTCGCCCTCGCGAATGTCGCTGCTGGGAACCCCTTGCTGCAAGAGGATGGGAATGGTGATGGTTGTGCAGTGCTGGGAGAAATTCAGCGTAAGTTAAACCAATTAAACTTTAGTGTTGCTATTTGTACCATATTTACTAACGGCAAACGTTACAGCAAGTGCCGACCACGTGACCGCCCCGTGTGGGGCTCACTCTCTAATAATTAGAGGGTGGTGGTCAGGTGGTTGACCACGTGCACCCTTGTGGGTCGGTCTAAAAGTTTTTCTCTCTCATGTTATATCCTCGCGTCACGTGATGAGAGAGATTGAGACATGCACGTGATGAGAGATAGACACAAGATAGACACATAAAGGGACAGAGGGTGTCCCATAAGTTTTTCATAGAGGAGTTCAGTGGCCAATGAATGTGGTCTAAATAGCTTTATTATTAATTTGTTATGAACTCTCATTTTAATATCTTACACCTTAAGGAAAGCATGTAAGACAAATTCACCAGAGTTGACCGAGAGGAGACATGTAGTTACCACATGAGAAGTGGACTCAGGAGTCACTGAATTTAAGAGCATGCTGTAGTGTGGATAGCTAGAAGAAGTGACTGCCAATAGCATGAAGATGATAATAGTTGTCAGAAAAAAGAAAACAGCATTTGAAACGAAAAATTAATAATCAGTTATATAATGGCTAGAAGGTACAGAGTGAGGATATCTATAAGACAGTAATGACTGCTGAAGGAAATAAAAAATACTTTATTATGTATAACAAGAAATGAAAAGTATTCTGTTTATAACAAATTTGATCACACAGTGTTCTTGTTCGATTACCTCATTCATCGTGAGTTCTGACTGCAAGACTTCAATTATGTATATGACATGGTGTATGCATTGTGGTTTTTGGTAACAATTTCATCTTGAGGAACAAGTTCTCCATAATTAATTTATGTGCCTTCAAATAGATGTCATGTCAACTTTAATTTCAGCTCTATATATCAACAAAGAAGTTTGGAGTTTGTTTTTGTTACCTCTCTGATCTGGAGATGAACCAATGTTACTATGCAGATGAATTCTCTTTTGCTGACCAACATCCTCCTTGTGATCTGAACTTTCCACCTGTGACTACATATGGCCAATTTGCACCCATAACACCAGATAAGTCCACAAGAGTAGACAGAGAACCAATGTCTCAAACACCAAACCCCAATGCAGATGATGGAAGAGGCCAGGAAATAGAGGAGCAATGGGATGCAAATTCTGCAACAATCAACATCCATGAGCTGGATAACAACAAAGATCTAGCAAAAGCTTCTCCTGATTCACTGCATGCTACTCTTTCCACAGAGCTCCAGGAGAATGACAACTCTGACAAGGGAGTAAACAACATTATTGACTTGAACAAGACACCACAACTAAAACAAAGAAGGAGAAAGCACAGGCCCAAGGTAATTAGAGAAGGCAAGCCAAAAAGAACCCCAAGGCCTCCTGGTTCTAAGGAAAATCCAACGGTCAAAAGAAAGTATGTGCGGAAGAATGCACTCAACGAAAATAAAACTCCACCATCAACGGAATTTAGGGAGCATACTGATTCAAATAAACTGAAGTCTACGAAAAGATCGTGCAGAAGGGCCTTAAACTTTGAAATAGAAGAACCAGGAGATGGAAGTTCCTCATGCAGGTCTTTGAATATGGATTTACAATCACATGAGCTGAATTCTTGCAGCAATGGAGTTGAATTGGTAGCAGATAACACCCAAGTAGGCATAGCCCATGATCTAGTCAGTTCTACAAACCAAATCCTGAAAGATTATTTGTCACTGCCTGAACAACCCCCAAGCACAGCACCTTCCACCAGAAATAGTTCCATACAATATACAGATTCCCAAAAGGAGGATACCACAAAAGGAAGAGGACAAATGAGCACTGATATTGGAGAGGTAAACAATGCACAAATCATGTTGAATTGTGACACTCAATCATCCCAACAAAGTCCACATGAAGAACAAGCAAAGGGAACCAAGAGAAGATATTCTAATGCTGCTGCGCAAGCAGATCCAAGGGCCAGAAATTTAATTGGGGCTAACTATAATAATTTTCAGGCATACTACAATCTGATGTCGTGGGTGCATTTTCCGTACATATACAAGAAGAAGAGGACTGACAAGGCACACAATTCTACCATACCAAGCACCTCTTATCGTGTGAATATGGCAGAAAACATTTGGAGACCATCAACATCTAGCTGCTTAACTTCTGGTCCTCAATATAATGCTAGTAATGTTTCACCTACACTTAGAGAAGCAGGGAAAAGCCCTCAAGATAAACTGCAAGCTTTTGAGAATATTCTACCTTTGTATCATACCGAGAGGTCAACAAAGAGAAGATCTAGAGGTCCTACAAGGGTTCGTGACTTGGCTTCACTGACTAGGACACCAGAGCACATTTTGCACAGAGCCTATCTCACCAAACAACCACCAAGTGATTGTAATGGGCAAAGAGTTAATCACTATGACAGAACTCAGACATGCATTGATGCCCTAGTCACAGACGTGGGTGCAACACTTGCAAAAAAGAAGAGGACAAAGAGGCATCCACTTTCCACTTCGCAACGAAGTCTTGTAATATATAAGAACCAACCATTTTTCGCCACAGCATCAGGTATGCCAATAAAATATTTGTTTATGTATGCAAGTTGTTACCCACTCTGCCATTCAATTTTGGATGTAATTTAACTTGGCCATTAATTGCAGGTGTTCCTCCAGAAGTAACATTCGAACAACTGCTTTCTGCTATCACTGAGCACTTCAAATGTTTGGACATACGAAGAGAAAGTAGCAGATTTTCCTATCAAGGGTATAATGTCATCTCTTCCTATCAGACACAAAATCAAGAGCCCAACGCACTGGTTCTTTATAGAAGAGATGGCACTGTTGTACCATTTGACGGTTCTTTTGATCCAACTAAGAAACGTCGAGCACGACCTAAAGTTGACCTTGATCAAGAGACTGATAGAGTATGGAAGCTTTTGATGGATAATATAAATAGTGAAGGTATTGACGGAACAGATGAAGAGAAAGCAAGATGGTGGGAAGAAGAGCGTAGAGTGTTCCATGGACGTGCAGACTCTTTCATCGCACGAATGCATCTTGTGCAAGGTACATAAACTTTCACCTTCAAAGAAATTCATGTTAAACAAGTTTCCAACGTATCTTTCATAATTATATGATGATTAGCTAGTTAGAGGATGCACTTGGGAACTCTTCTTTAATTTCAGATATAAGAAGTCACAACTTCATATTGTAACAGAATAATATTATTTCCACAGGGGATAGACGCTTCTCTCCATGGAAGGGTTCAGTTGTGGATTCCGTGGTTGGAGTTTTCCTTACTCAAAATGTCTCAGATCATCTGTCTAGGTGAAGTACTGTTTCTTGATAAGTATAAAATTTGACATCAGAGAAATTCCAAGTGATAAAATTTCTAACCTGTACCTCCTTGCAGCTCTGCATTCATGTCACTCGCTGCACATTTTCCCCTGAAGTCAAGGAGGAATGAGGATGCATGCCATGAAGAGGTTGGAAGCTTAGTAGTAGATGAACCAGCAGTCTGCCTTAGTGAGAATTCAAACCAGCCAGCTTGTGACTGCAGTTCCATAACATTCCATGGTACTGAGCATAGTGAAAAAAATGTTAACGGAAATGAGAACTCTGGAAGCACTACTGAGGGAGTTATCTCAACAACTGAATCAGAATGCAAGCTATTACATTCATCTGAACCTAGTCTAGTGAACAGGTCAACAACCAAGATCACAAGAACAGTATCTCATTGTTCCTTAGAGGAGGATATGAGAACAACATACGATGTAGCTTCATCTCAAAATTCTGTGGATTCATCAACTTCTCAGACTGTGGAAAAAGCTGGATCATGCGAGAGCAACTCAGAAACAGAGGATCCACCTAATGGATGTGAAAAGAGCAGCTTGGATCACTCCACTTCGTTTGTAGAGCTTTTACAGAAGGCCGAATCAACTAGGGTGCATCAAGTTTACAGTCTCAAGAGCAGCTACATGTCATCTCATCTCACTTCAAACTGTGAAGGTTACCAACCTACATGTATGCAGCATACGGACCAAAGACATAATATAAACCGACAAGCAGCATCCCTAGCTGAGTGCTTTGATTTGTTCAGAGAAATAACCGAATCTTCTAATACTTCAAAAAACAAATATGAAGACAGCCTTAGCGAAAGGAGTGCAGTAACAGCAGAATCTGCCAGTCAAGATACAGTACATAATGAGCTGAGAGTGAATGTTCAAGAAGCACCAAGCTGTTCTAGAAAACCGTGCAATAACATTCAGATAGGCAATAACATGGCCCAGTCTCAAATTGGGGTGGTTGGGAACTCAAATAATGTTGATATATTTGCTCAGGAGCAAAACATTAAGATGCATCAAAGTTGCTTGAACATTTCTGGAGAGACCATGGATGTTATGCAGAAAGTAGCAGAGTCAGATTTAAATGAGCAGGGTCATTCAATAAACAAGGAGGTCAGTAAGACGAAAGCTGCTACCTCAAAAACAAAGAGCACAAGAGCTGGAAAAGAGAAAAAAGATCAGCTTGATTGGGACAAATTAAGGAAACAAGCAGAATCAAATGGAAGGAAAAGGGAAAAAAAAGCAAACACAATGGATTCGTTGGATTGGGAAGCTGTAAGATGTGCAGATGTTAGTGAGATTGCCCAAACCATCAAAGAGCGAGGGATGAATAATATGCTTGCAGAAAGAATCAAGGTAAGTATAACATTTAATATAGTTCTCAAATTTTTCAGTGTATCCACCTACACACACCAAAACTTTTAGATCAGCTGATGTTGATTGAGAAATTTGTGCAGGATTTCCTTAACCGACTGGTCAGAGAACACGGTAGTGTTGATCTTGAATGGTTGAGGGATGTTCCACCTGATCAAGCAAAGTAAGCCCGCAGAATTATTCCATCCCATTTCTACCTTTAAAAACTAAATTCTAGCAACTCAATCACTTGCATGCTCATGTCATATAAAAATGATATGGCTGTGTTTATAAAGTATACAATGTTCTGAATATGCATTATGCTTCTGTGGTTTTCATTCCAAAACTATCTGATATGTGCCTATAGAGAGTTTTTGCTGAGCTTTCGCGGACTGGGGCTGAAAAGTGTGGAGTGTGTGCGGCTTTTGACACTGCACCATCTTGCTTTTCCGGTGAGTGTGTATTAGAAGTATCACTGACCAGAATAAATGCAACAGATCTCAACATATGTAGTTATATCTTTGAAGGTGGACACAAATGTTGGACGTATAGCTGTGCGGCTTGGATGGGTACCCCTACAACCATTGCCTGAGTCACTGCAATTGCATCTTCTCGAACTGTGAGTTTTATGAGCTCCATTTACTTACAGAAAGCATATCCAAATTGAACTGGAACTGATGTTTCTGTCTCTCATAGGTACCCAGTGCTGGAATCCATTCAAAAATATTTGTGGCCACGACTGTGCAAGCTTGACCAAAGAACATTGTAAATACAAATCAGACAATACCTTCACATTAGTACACCAATCTTATCTATAAACATGACTTTGCATAGTCAAAAAACAAAATTTTCTCTTCTATAACATTGGATACTGATTGAACAATACTATTTCAATATTTGCTAACAGGTATGAGCTGCATTACCAGATGATAACATTTGGGAAGGTATGTCATCTTATTTTGCACATGAAGTGATTTGTCTTCACCTTACTCGCTAAGAATGAATTAAATGGCATTCTTTGACGCAGGTCTTCTGCACAAAAAGCAAACCAAATTGCAATGCATGTCCAATGAGAGGAGAATGTAGGCATTTTGCAAGTGCATTTGCAAGGTTTGCAAATCAAATCTTCCAATCATTTGTACTTAAAGGCCACTATAGTTCCAATAAAACAACCATATGAATAAAAATTCATTATGACTCATTCAAGGTATATTAACTATTGTAAACCTCAATTTATCAACATATGGATATAAACTTAAGCATACCCGAAAAAAAAAAAGCCCTCATGAATCAGAAGCATAATAACAATCCTCATGATTGCACTTTACTGCAAGATCATTTGATAAGTTACTAACAAAGCATGTTGGATGCAGTGCAAGGCTTGCTCTTCCAGGGCCAGAGGAGAAGAGCATAGTGAGTGCAACTGAAGCCAGAACTACCTATACAAACCCTACTGAGATGAATAATAGAATGCCCTTGCCTCTCCCTCAGGCAACAAAACAGTTGGATGGATACCAGCAATTGGAAGCAAGCCAAGAATCAGAAGCAAAATCTGAATTTGGTAGATGTGAACCTATCATTGAAGAACCAGCAACACCAGAGCCAGACTGCACTCAGATAGTGGAGGACATTGAAGACTTCTATGATGATCCTGACGAAATTCCTACAATTAAACTTAACATGGAAGAGTTCACTCAGAATTTACAAAACTATATGCAAGAAAACATGGAACTCCAAGACGGTGAAATGTCAAAAGCTTTAGTTTCTCTCACACCAGAAGCTGCATCTATTCCAACACCCAAGCTAAAGAACGTGAGCCGACTACGAACTGAACACCAAGTGTAAGTAGGAGCTGTCATCTCTCTAATAATTCAAGAAATATCTTGTATGAAAGATTTGGTATTGTTAGGATTAAATGGATGGAGCAATGTTTAAGTAAGCAATGGAAAATGAAATGGAGTTTGTTGTCAAAAAAGGTTTCCAACAGAAATCACAAAACATCACCTCTGTCCAGATTGCATCCATGATAATTGATATGAATTTTATCATTTTAATAGTGAGCCAAACATCTCATATGCATGTTACTGATTCTTGTTCTTCACAATGCAGCTATGAACTTCCCGACACACACCCTCTTCTAGAACTGGTTAGTAATGTCTACGTACTTACCTAATAACATGGTTTAACTATCCCTTTTTGGGTTTGTAAGGGATAAGTAGCTATCTCTTCTTTCTTTTCTTTTTTCCACTACATACTTACCTAATAATATGGTTTAACTATCCCTTTTTGAGCTTGTAAGGGATAAGTAGCTAGCTCTTCTTTCTTTCTTTTTTCCACGAAGTACCTATCTGGATTTAATCCTCACTAAATCTGCCTTTGCTTAATACAGTTGCAGTTGGATAAGCGAGAACCAGATGATCCCTGCAATTACTTGTTGGCTATTTGGACACCAGGTATGTAGATATCAATAAAAAAACTGACTACCATATAATACTTAAGTCTGACTATCCAATTTTCCTTTTTCATCCCCAAATTCTCAACCCTCATTTGAGAGTTTAGCCTAGAACAATCTTCCAAAGTGGATAACATAGCTTTACAAAACCTACCTTAACAGTCCCTAATGCCAAAATGACTACTATTATCATTTGGACCCGTAAAGAAAAACCGGTATAGGATTAACATATTAAGATTAGAGACATGGCATAGAGCATCTCTATACTTCTCAAGTGGTGTACTTCCGAAAGCTAACATATATCCTCTTTTACTATATGTTGAATTTACAATTTCACTAAATGCCTTAATGCTCATACCAGGTGAAACTCCAAATTCAATTCAACCACCAGAGAAGAGGTGTAGTTCTCAAGAACTCGGAAAATTGTGTGACGATAAGGAATGTTTCTCATGCAACAGTGAACGGGAAGCAAATTCGCAAACAGTCCGAGGAACTCTCTTGGTAAGAGTATGCTAAACAAAACTACCCTTCATAATTTTTAATGTTATGCAACACAATTGAACACTAGTAACACCAATAGAAGTGATCACAACAATGATGAGTATTTACCTGTTTTGATCATGAACAGATACCATGTCGGACAGCAATGAGAGGGAGCTTTCCACTTAATGGCACATACTTTCAAGTTAACGAGGTGAGATGCAGTTTCATTCTTCTCAAGCTCCTTCTGTTTCATGTTGAGGTGACATTGATTATAAATGCCATCCGATGCAGGTATTCGCTGACCATGATTCGAGCCTTAACCCGCTTGATGTTCCAAGATCTTGGCTGTGGAAGCTAAATCGGAGAACGGTGTACTTCGGAACCTCTATACCAACGATATTTAAAGGTAAATATGGTACATTTTTATATTTTTACTAATGATTCAAACAATAGCACTCAGTATATGTTTCTTCTTGCCAGGGTTATCAACACCAGAAATTCAGCAATGCTTTTGGAGAGGTATGAGAAAATGTCACTTATCTGTTTCTGTGTTATCGTAGTAGCTTTAATTTTATTTTTTTTCCTAAAAAGAGCTTTAATGTGGAATTTATCCATTAGTCCTTTCCATTGGCTATATGCATGCACAAAGTAGCCATTAGTCTATTATTGTTGACTTGTGTACGCACATATTCAAAACCTTGTACTTCTAAGAAAGGGAACGTAAGACCTACGTCCTCTGGAATCTTGCAATTTCTAACATCTTAATCCTATGAGCTAATGATATTTTCAAAAATATATATTCCTTCTGGTAACTACTTGTGCGGTTAGAGCTGTTTGATTAGCATTTTGCAGGTTCATACCAAGAATGTACTCAGACAAGCATGACAAGGATTATTGGTAACTTAGGAAACCTAATTGCTAAGAGAGTGCACTTTCCTAACTTAGATTGAAAAATTCTGAAACTTGCCTAAGCATGGCTTTATTGCTTCACAGATTGCATTCTCAATGACTGTTGGAACATAAATGCATCTTATGGCTGAACTATAAGCAAATATGCTCAAGTTCACTTTTTTAGACTTAGTTGTTGTGTCACAAAATGTCTCAGCGAAAGTTCATAGAAATCTCTGTTTACTCAGAAGTTTGATTTGCAGGATTTGTCTGCGTGAGGGGATTTGACCAAAAAACACGAGGGCCACGTCCATTAATGGCCAGACTGCACTTCCCAGCCAGCAAGTTGTCCAGAACAAAAGATAAGAGAGATGAGTAGCCACCGAGAAGTTTCAATGCATGTCTAAAGAGCAAGACAAAGCCCACATTGAGTGGCACAACATTAAACATTTGTAAATTGGCTCGTGGAGCAAAAAGTGAGGTTCTAATTTAGTTGTTTGCTCACATGACTGAGAGGGCAATTAGCCATTTGTGTAAAAACGGCGAGCATAACCAAAAGATGTCATACAGTTTAATACACTAGCTAGTTTCTTGAGCAAATTACTTGAAGGTTGCGAGTTTAATAGCCAAAGGCATATTAGAAGATAGTGCAAGAACACCAAAGGAGCTAGTGCACAAGCATTCCAACTACACTGAAAAAAGTTCTTTTACGAGCAACAAAATCTCGTTAAAATTAATCATCCAAACATACAAAAAAACGGAGGATAAGATGTCCACTGAATACCAAATCCAGCTAATAACAAACACACGTAAGTAACCTTTTAAAACAACCTAATCAGCCCCTACAATAAAGCCACCCTCCAATCAGAAAACTAGCAAAAGATCCAATTTCCTCCTCAACTATTATAATCTTTCATTTCCAATTTCTCACTGAAATTCATTTTCCTGCTCCCACTAACCAACCTGCAACACATTCTTGTGTTACTATCTCCCTTATTTGCCCTCTCTACTTCAACCTTTCGTCACCACATGACAAAATGATTTCTTCTCTGAACACTAGATCCTCAAACTTTAACCCTAACTTTGTCCGCTCACTTCCCCTTCTTCACTCAAACTGTCTTCTTCTTCCAACAAATTCATCCCCTCAATTCTCCCAAAACCTCATTTCAATCCCTCTCAACCTTGTCTTCTGTATTTTCTAAATGATGCTCCTGGAATTCTGATATTAAAAAATTGTTCAGAGCATCTCCAACACATTTCCCTACCTAGCCATACACAAGCAATGTGCATACGTATATATAACTGTGAACGAAAAGTTCCTAACCATTTAGAGGGAAGAAGTTTGCGATCTATGAACTTTTTTCCTCAAAACTATTCAGGTTAACAGATTATGCATTTCTATAGGACTCAAAACACAAAATCGTCAACAGAGAGATCAACAGCGCCATCAATCGCCTGGCGACAATTGATACAATCACAAGGCACAGATGAGCAGATTTCAAATTGCTAAGAGGCACAGGCCGAAAGTAAAATCGAATACAATTACGGATAAAGAAATTCGAAAGTGAGCGCACCTTTGAACTTGCATCTGCTTGAGAGCTGCGAGAGCTGGATCGTGGATGGGAAGACAGAAAAGAGCCAATCTTCAAGCTAAAGCGATGGATAGAGAAACACTCTTGACTATTTTGCCGCCATAACGCCACTTTCCATTTTTGGTTTCCCTCCTAATCTGAACTCGTTTTACTATTTTATCGTTTAAAATGACGCGCAGTACGTGGCGAGTTATTGGCTGTTGGTGGATTCGGCGGGTTCTGCATTTCTCAAAAAGAGAAACATGTATACCTTATATAGGGCTGGCATTTTCTACCCAAAAACCGACCAAACCGGACCAAACCGAACCGATAGGATTTGATCCCTTGACCTAGGGTTTCAAATTATTCCATCTTTCCACTGGACTGCTTGGCTTTCTTATTAAATCTTTGTACAACAAGAGTATTTAATAGCTTTTAAAGAGAATTAAAAAATATTATAAAAAAATTAGGGTTTTTAACCCTAGCATCTCTTCAATTCCATATCCTATTCTTTATCTTCTTTTTATTTTTCTCTCCAGCCGCCATCTTCTTCATCCCCCTCACGAGCTCATCTCTTCTTCTCCCCCCCCTCTCTCTTCTTCGCTGCCACCTTTCTTCTTCGAAGTTCATCTCACCATCTCTTCTTCTCCTCCTCCATCTTTCTTCTTGTCCTCATCACAACCCTTCTTCTTCTTCTTCTCCTCCTCCTCCCTTTCTCTCCTCTTCACCGCCGGCCTTCATCTTCATGGCTCATCTTTCTTCCTCTTCTCCTCCCCCTCTTTTTCTCTATCTATCGATCTATCAAGTTTCTTACCGTCACCGAACCATTCCGACCGATGGTTTCGGTTCAACCGAAATCCGGTAAACCGATGGAGTCAGAGTCGGCAGCGGTTTCAATTTTGGGTATACCGACTACCCTCGGTCGGTTATCGGTTGGAGCTCATCGGGTCGGTTACCGAACCGATTCCACCCCTAACCTTATATGCGTCTAGCTCACCAAACAACACACATACTTGTCAATTAATTGAATTTTGATATGAAATTAAATTTATTCCAAATGGAAAATAATTAAAGGTTAACGACCCATGCAGGTTTGGGGTGGTTTTCAATGTGGACCCTATGGTATCTATTTTATTAATTTACACCTTAACGTTTTCAACATCGTCCAATTTCATCATTTTATTAAGTCAATCGTTCGTGTGGTCAATCGTTAAATGCTGACGTAATACCCGTGGGACCCACCCCACCAGTAGAATGACCATTTCACATACGAATTCGAAGGGCATTTTGGGGTTGGAAATTCAAAAGAAAAAATCGAAATCGCGCCCAATTTGGCAATTCAAAGTCATTCTTTATCAATTTGGAACCAAAATCCTCAAAAGTCGTCCTCAATCTCAGTTTTAACCTAAAACATAAAACTCCATAACTAAGGAGAGAGAGAAATCTAGGTGTTGCGATTTTGGAAGGATTGAGAAGAAATGAGTTGGGATTTCAAACCTCTAGGCGCTGCACAGCCCGTGTACGGTAAGTTCCTCTAAATTTTTGCGATTTCGATTATCTGTGGTGAAAGGGTTTGAGGTCGTATGGGTTATTGTGCTTTGAGTGGTGTGTTTTATAATCCTTGTCGAATAGTGGGAAAAGTATGAAAGAATGAAGGGTTATTGTTGTTTAATAAGGGTTATTGTCATTTTATAAGGGTTGTCGAATGTAGGTGGTCCTTCTGCAAAATTGTTTTTTGCATGTGTTGGCAATGTTTGCCTTTAATAAGGCCAAAGTGTTAGGTGGAATAGTGTGAAAATGGTTGTTTAATAGAAACTTTGCATTTTCTATAATGGTCCTAAAATGAAAATAATTGAATATTGTGTTTTGTCTAATGGTTTATATGATGTGGTCTAAAACTAACCCTTGTTGGGACATGTAATATGTAGGTGACCCTGAATTGTTTTCTTTTCGAATGTACCATGGTGGTCAAATCCGTGGTAACGATTATGCTTGTTGCAATATAGCTTGGGTTGATTATTGTGACAAGGATAGAATGTTAATGACTCAGATATACAATATGGTAAAGGAGTTAGGCTACAATGGGGTGATTAGTTACTGGTATAGTATCCCTACCTATAGCAATGATGACCTAACAAAGCTTAATGATGATCAAGATGTCATAGACATGCTTGTATTTGTACCATATACAAGGCTAACAGACATCTTCCTACATTAGGGGGTGATAGTAATGAGGACATGTTTAATAGTCAAGCAGGATCAAATGTGTTCGTTGATTTAAAAGATGATATTGTGCCTAACAAAGGAGTTGTGATTGAGAAGCTTGATGACAATTATGGGGCTATTGTTCCTGTTGTTGGGAAAGGCAAACAAGGGAGATAACATGAAAAGAAGAAAAAACAAACAAACATGTGTTGTGATAGAAGAGCTCAATGAAGGCCCAAATGGGAAACAAAATGATGGGGGTATGCAAAAGGCAAGTGAATGTTGTACAAAGGCTGTTTCTAAAAAAGGCCAAGAAACAACACATGAAAGGGAATTTTCTTCTGTGCAAAAAGGCAAAGAAAAAACAGTATAGAGAGAATCTTATGTAGTGAAAAATGGCAATGAAAAGCAGAAAAGTGGGAATATTCCCCGATAGACAAAGGGAAAAGTAAAGTCACTTTTGTTTTTGGGAAAAAGAGGGCAAAAGCCTTTGGTATAAGACACATTTTAAAGAAAACCATAGTTCCAATATAGTAACTGATGGACTATTTGAGAATGAAGTTGTTAAAGCAACTGTAGAAAATAGTAAGTTATCAAGATGTCATCCAATGAAAACAAGAAAAGTAAGGAAAATGACCACATTCTGTGATAATGAGGAGTCAGCAGACAGTATTGACTTTGATTTTGTATACCCTAACTTCAGTTATGATGATAATGACGATGATCTTGATTTTGATGAATGGGTGGAGAAACATATTGAGTGAGTTGGAGATAAGGCAAAAGGAAAAGAGCCAGACTCAACAAATGCTCAGGTTGAAGATTGGGATTGGAGTACATATGTTGAACTGTATTTAGAGGAGTATGATTCTGGTAATGTGCAGCCTAAATATGACTATGATGATGACACTCCAATGAATGATAGATGGGCATAGTTCAATCCGGCAACTAAGATGGGAGATCCACAGTTTGAGATTGGGATGAAGTTTAGTGATTGTAAAGTTTTTAGAGCTGCTGTCATAGAACAATTCATAAATACGAATAGGGATGTTGTATTTGTGAGAAGTGAGGCTTTTAAGCTAAGGGTTGTTTGTGCATATCCAAATTGTCCGTGGGAGATATATGCTTCTAAAATGCAGTATGAGAAGACCTTTCATGTTAAGAAAAATGAGGGGGAACACACTTGTGGTATTGTTTAGGAGAACCCCACTATTAAGTCTGGATGGATAAGTGCCAAATATAAGGAAACATTGAAGACCAATCCAACTTGGCCAATTAACTCATTCATGGAGACTATGGAGAATAACTATAACACTGGAGTTTCTAGGCGATAAGTTTATTGGACAAAAGAGAGGGCATTCAGGCAAATTGAATGAGTATTCACAGAACAATACTCCAGAATTTGGAATTATTGTGAAGAGTTAAGGTAGACCAACCAGGAACAACAACGAAAGTTCAATGTGATTTCAATGAACAATTAGGTAATCCAGTGTTTCAAATGTTATCTGTGTGTCTAGGTACATGTAAAGCAGGGTTTATTGTTGGATGTAGACCTATTATTAGATTAGATGGCTGTTTCTTGAAGGGTGTATATGGAGGGCAATTGTTAGCAGCAGTTGGTATAGATGTTAATAACGAAACATGGGAATTAAATTGTGGGACCCATGACTTTAAATACATGACTTTTACAAATTAGTATGTATCAATTGGGAATAGTCATGGTCTTAATAGAGGAAAACTAAAATATTATTTATTTTGTTTGTGAATAAAATAATAATACTTTATGTGAAAAGTTGCATGGTTTAGTAATTGAAACATTGCACTTCT